TCAAATATTCATCAAGATGCAGTAAGTTACTCATCTTTTGTAAAAGAAGTATTCAGACTTCATGTGAACAGCTCAAAACCAACTCTAAATATAGCTTTAATTTCAGTTAAACATCTGATTACCTGTCTCTTTCAAAAAAGAAAACAGAGAGAGAAAGAGAGAGCGAGAGAGAGGGAGAGAGAGAGGGATTCAGCTCCCTGAGTCAGTCACGTGCTCAGAACACTGCTAAAACCAGGGCTGGTCTCCAGTAAAACCACAGACGCCTGGTACTGCCCATGCCTCCTCAGCAGCAGACTTGGGCTTAGAGAGTTTGCTGCCTCTCTGTTCATGCAGTGAACTTGGTCTCTGTGGAGGCCCGAGTCCCTTGAAGGCCTCCTTCATTTCTTCCCCCATTCCTTCCCCGTCTCCCAGAAATTACAGGCACAAAATCACAAGCAAAGATTAATTCTAACTGTTTGGGTGCTGGCGGATTCTCACTAAACCTATGATTGAGCTTTTTCTTCTCAAGGAAAGTAAGGGTTTGCCAGCCATCTGCCATTGGCCTCCATCTTTTCATCACCCACTCCGACATCTGTCCTTGAGTGGGATTTTACTCAGGGGGTGTTGACTATTTCCCAGAACAACTCATAGGCTCTTTGATGTCCTCTTTCGGGGTTCTGTATATTTTGTTCCAAGGGTGCAGAATTAGTCATGTGGCTAAAGCAGAGCACTTCTCATTACCCTTTGCTTGCTCATTCAATGACCTTGCATTTGGATCAAAGCTTTCCTTACTGTTTCAGGTTGTTCTTTGTTCCCTGAAATGGTCAGGACACCCATTGACTATCTTAGGAGAATCAATATTGTTAAAATCCATGAAGAACTTTTGGCGAAAAAGAAAAAACTGTTCTGTTACCCATTTGTCTGAATTCTGTTTTCTTAGCCTTTTTTGATATACAGCTCTGTTCACTTGTTTTGATACCAGTTCAGGTAAATTCAGCTTGATCTAATTTTTCCAAAAGGGGGAAAATTAACCTTGATTTTTCTCTGGCTCTTTTCAAATATCAACTTGCAATTGTGGAATAAGCTGAGGACAGTCACGGCCCTGGGAAGGCAGGCCTCCCTGAGCCCAGCATTCAGACCACTGCACCGACACAGATGATTTGAGAATAATAGGCCTGGGTCTCAGCCTTGATCACTTCCATTTTCATCGTGGTTTATATAGTAGCTATAAATGACCAAAAGCCAAACAGATTGGCAGGCAGGACAGAACAGTGGTTGAGTCATTGCACTGGGGCTTTACAGTCCCATAGACCTGGATTAAACTTCCAGACCTGTCCTTTCCTGTCTGTGTGACCTTGGCAAAGTCATTTGACTTCTCTAAGCCTGGCATCCCTTACCTGTAAAAAAGGACTATAATAACCACCTGTAAGAAGGTCAGTGTGAGAATAAAGTGAAACAATGTAACAAATAACATAATGCCTGCAACCATGTTTACTGAATAATAGGTTACAATACAGAGTGCTTTGATATATATTGGTGCATTAGATTATCTTATCAGTCATCTGCTACTTCTGTACAAAGCACTGTGCTGAGTATGAAAAACCCACCCCCCCCCAAATTTGAACTCTCTCTTTCCTCAAAAACTTTATAACCCAATTGCTAATTGAGGAACAACACACAAACTCATAAAAGAAGGAGAAGTTGGACACAGCCTTTTCTGGAGTGTTATCCATTCTGAACCAGGTCCAGATCTGAAGCTGACGCATGGCCTTAGTTGCTGTGCCATGGCTCACACCTCACCAGCCAACCAGGCAGTCAGGGAAATGACCTTCAGCACCCATCCAACAAATATTTATTGACAGCTACTCTGTGCCAGACCTGTGCTGAGTGATGGGTGCGTCAGTCTTCCTTGGGTTTATTTTAAGTAGCATTCCGGTGTTTGTTCAAGCATTTCATATAAATTAACTCTATTAACCCTTCCACAAAACTAGGAGGGAGGTAGTAGCATTGGCCCATTTTACAGATGAAGAAACTAAGCACAGAGAAGTTAAATAACTTGTTTGTGGTCATGCAAGTGATATGCAGCAGAATTGGGTCAGAACCAAACAAAGTGATTTCTAGGGTCTGTCCTCAGAACCTTATGCTATTGCTTTCAGATGCCACTTGGTCACCTGAGACCATGTCATGTCTCTGGCTTGGTTTGTTTAATCCTCTTTTCCTGAGACGTAAGACTGGGGTTTCACTCTTTCCTTTCCTTCCAGCACTGAACACTTCAGAAGGGACTGTAAAATCCCTGTGGACACTACTTAGGCCATCCAAGCAGTGGGTCATCAGTTATCATATTTAAGGCAATCTCGCTGTTTTCAGTGAAAATTGCAAACATACTTTGATGCATTAAAAACCTCTACCTTAAGGAGGTTTACTTCATAATCTAATAAAACAGATGTCTAACTTGAAGGCTGCTGTAGCCTTCAAAGTATTATTTACATCGTCCTCAACACAAATGACTTCTAAAACTATCACTTTATAGAATAATTAAAATTAATATGCTCCTCTTGATTTCTGCGCTTGGGCATACATTTCCCTATGTAAAAATGCTCCAGCATGTGGAGGGCTAAGCCCTGAACGCTCCTGTCTGTCCAGCCCTGTGTCTCTTGTGGAAGGAAAGAATGCGTCCCATCAGGAAGAGCCAGAAGCGGGGAAGCATCCTTACTCAGAACCCAACCTCCCTTTCTTCCCCAGTTCTTCAGCTGTCTTAGAGACAGCAATTGAAGACAAGGAAAAAAGAAAAATGGCCTCATATTCGCAATGGGAAACACTGTAAAAAGAGAGAAATGGCTGTCCACATCGTCTCAGGACACACATTTCCCTGCAGGGATGGGTGCTGTCCTTCACGTGCTCTTTGCAGAACCTAGACCATCCTGCACACACGTGGATTATCAGACCAGACACTGAGTTTTATCCATAGTAAGCACATGACATCCAAAGAACAGAATTGCTCCCTTGAAGTTGAAATCAAAGAGCCCTTGCGAGCAGCCGCACACACGCGGAGTGGGAGAGCACACACATGTGTGATGGAGGCAGTCCGGAGGGAGCAGCGTGCTTCCCAGGGGTGGTTTGAAACATTGACAGATTGCAGAATCCAAATGTGATGTGTGGGAACATCACACACACACACACACACACACGAAAAACATTGCCAAAATCTCTCAAAGCCAAAGTTTAGAACACGTGCTCTGGATGGAGCAACAGTAATTTCAAAATAACTCCATTTATGATTTCATTCCTCATCTCTTTGATCACTTTGGCACACTATTTAGGAAATAGCAGAGAAAGAGAAACATGATGCTGGAGACAGAAATTTAATTATAAAACAAAGCCACCCACCTTGCTTTCGGGGTCAGGAAGTACAATGGCCTTCTTTTGCTGCAAGAATGAACTTAACACCAGTGTGTTAAATGATCACATATATTTTTTTTAAAAAAAGGAAATGGTTCTTTAAAAAAAAGCTGCAATAGCTCAGTCCTCATAGCAAGTCTTACCAAAAAATTAAAATTAAAATTAAATAAAAGCAGCATACTGTGGTTCTTTGGCACAAGGCAAAAAGCAGAGTCCTCAAGTCACTATTCCCCGTTTTGCGAAACAAAATAAAAAGCAAGAGCAAAAGGTGCTGCTTGGCAGAAGGGGAAGGACCTTAAAACACCTTATGCCTTCCTGGTTCCCTCCCAGTGCCTTCGCTCGGGTGTGGGCTGTAGAAGCCGTACTGATCGACACCAATGTCGCCATCCGCTGCTTAAATGCCACAAAAGTACACTTAGAATTGAGAAGAAAGTGACTGACACGGATATGCTGAGCCAGCCCCACTGCCACTAGAACAGTCTTTAATGCCCACACAAGGAGAATAAAAAGAAAGCACATTTTGCAATAGAATAAATTCTTTTTTTTTTATTGAGACCGCGGAAAGTCACATGACCCTGCATGTAGCCTTTTAGGAAAGCAAACGAAATGGTAAAGAAAGGAGCGGGGGGCTGCCTCTTCCTCCCGCCGCCCGCCTCTCAGCCCGTCCTGCCGCGCGTCCGCATTCTTCTGGGCGCATCTGTGGAGCTATTAAGTGGGATAATCCCTCTGGCCTTTGATACATTTCTGGACATGATTATTTCATTACTCGCAGTATATCAGTAGGATCATAATAAAAAGGACTTCTGACAACCTGCCAAGAGTTTTGTGGCCTTGTAAACACAAAAGTGCTCTAATAAAATTTTATTAAGTGTTAAAAAGTCATAAAAAGTGAAATAACATAAACTACAAAATTTACTGTCCTCAGCAAATGCTGAAAATATCGTCCACAGTAAAATTAAATTAGCATGTAATAGACAGAGAAGCAGTGTGGAGTGGATTTAAAAGAGGATCCAGGGAAAATGACACGGTAACCCAATCTGGGTCACGGGGATTTAATTCGGATTTTTCTCCCCAAATGGGAATAAGTGTGCAGATTACAGACGAGAGCTCCGGGGTTACTGGAGTCTCACACATTGATTGTCAATACTTCGGAAGAAATAATATATTGCAGATTGGAATGAACTGGGGAGAGGCGCGAGCGTGGCGGGGAGAGGGCGAGAGCAAGGGCGTCCACTAGGGTGCGCTGCGAGACCGGGAATCCCCGCCGGGCCGCCCGCGCGGCCGCGCCGCCCGGTGCCGCGCGCTCTCGCTTTGCCCTTGCCCTCCTCAAAATCGTATTTACACTTCTGGGTTGTTTTTTCTTTCTTTCTTCCTTTTTCTTTTCTCCCCCTCTCTCCCGTAACATTTTCTCCAAATCCGAAAATGAAGTGTAAGTCGGGCTTTGCCGGAGGCAGCCCTGGGTCCCCAGTTTCGGAGACCCTGGGCGCTGGACCGGAGTGCGCCGCTCCGACGGAGCTAACCCCCAGGGACAGGGTGTGGCCCCAACCCGCTCCCCCGGCCCGGCCCTTCCGCCCCGAGAGGCCGCGGAGCGCGCGAGGCCCGAGTCCGGCTCCGCCTGGGGTGCGGGTGCGCTTAGAGCGCCGGTGTCGCCGGCCTCGCCGCGGTTCAAGTGCATCCCCGGGGTCGGAGCCCGCGGTGCAGGGAGCGAGGTTTCCTCTGCTCAGACCCTTGTTGGTAGTCACAGGAGCCCGCGGCTCCCAGTTCCCCACTCCGCCGCCTTCCCGGCCGCGCCGGACCGCCGGCCTGGGGCGTAAAGCGGGGCGCAGGGGCGGACAGGCACCCGCTAGCTCTCCTCCTTCGCCCCTACCGGGACCCACGGTCGGGCAGCCCCCCAAGTCCAACGTGGAGGCTCCGCCTGGAAAAGAAGTTGGACTTCCTCTGCACGCAGCTCCGAAAGGAATCTGGAATCGGCAGGAAATTGTTCGAACACGCAGCCTGCGCCTTTGCAGTCAGCTCGCGCTTTGCTGAAAAGAAGCCGCTCCCACCAAAGTCCTGCCTCCCCTCCCCCCGAAAGCCCCGCACAGGTTCGTAAAGAGGGGTGCGAGATCTGAAAAGTACGTCTTCTAGAGAGAAAGACGTCGGTGACGGTACTTAATAAAAGGTGGGGGCTCTCTAGCTGCAGATAATCAACGGGCCACGTCTTGTTTGCGTTTCCAAAATGATGGAAACGCTGCCATCTGAGAAGTCCATATTAGCAGTCCGTCAGTTAGAAGTTAGTGAAATAAGGGATAATTGGGCAGTGACACAATTCGTGGCTCCATTTCTCTTCAGAGACGTCCAAGGTTTTAAGCTGCATTTAAGAATTAGCCACATTTTGCTAGAAAGTAAATATTTTTCAGTAAACCTGTTGCTAAAGCCCAGAAGAGGTCATTTAAAGTTATCACATAAGATCCCCCAGTTTCCTAGAGAGGCTTGCACAGGTCACTAGGATGAGGATTCCTTATATTTTTAATTTTTCTGACGGCGAGAGCATTTGGTTTTTGTGTGGCAATGTAATGTTCGAGGCAAATAGAGTGCCCAAGAATACTTTGCTAGGCAATGTTCACCTGACACTTCTAGCCTAAAATAAATATAATTAACTTAAAATGGGAATTATAGCACCATGTTTTAGATTTTTTGTTGTTATATGAAAAAAAAGTGTTCTTTAACAATTTTTTAAAGCCCTGTTTGTTGTCACTTGCAAAGTATTGAATTTGAAATAGCCTAGCCTGGAGCATTGAAGTTAAAAAAATCTAAACAAGTCCATTTAAATGTGTCTTGACATTTCTTATCAAAGGCTTTGAAAACTAATAAAAACAGAATTAAAAGGAATGTATATAAATAACAAAATTCCTTTTTAACGCAGTGTGCCTGCCTGGGGGGCAGGTCCAGGTTGCCTGTCCTGCAGATGGCCATGTGAATATGGTGGGCCAGGGTTGTTTTGAAAGTGAAGGGCACGCATGTTTATGAAAGTGCAGAAGCAAATGAATTACTACATGGATTTCCTCCAAAGTTTTGCATTTAAAATTTTATGATAAACATTTCTCCACTGACTTACAAAGTTCAAGAGAAATCTTTATACTTGTATTATTTTGTTCTGTTTAAATGTCAACTGAAGTTCATCTGTCCTTCAGAAAAAATACTTGCCCAACTATTTAAAAATAACACCATGACTAGGATTTTTAATTCTCTTCAGGTAATTTAAAATTTTTTGAACAAGAGTAGCACAACCTTATTCAGGGAGTTTAGTGTAGGAAAGAGGATTTCCAAACCTATAAATGTAGTCTATACAATGTTGTAGTATCAAAGGATTTTGTAAAGAAACTTAGGAATTAATACATTTTAAGCGAATATAAAATTATGTTTTAAAAGGGTTCTCCCACTCTATTTTCTCCCTTTAACAAAATCAAAGACTATTTTCCATTCTATTTAAATGCTAGAAAATTATTACCATAATAACAGTCTGTCAAGATGGTGGATACTTTTGAATGTGCTATAAAGAAAAAAGAATATTCTCAACCCTTTATATGTTTGAGGTACTTGAAGAGGCAAAGAGAAGTTTGTAAAAACATTTTACTACTGAAATCTACAAGACCATTAAAATGTGCAAGTAATTTATTCTAAGTGACTGAAAAGTATTTTTTCTAACTGCTTTTCACACTTTGAAATTTTTATGTGTACTTTAATTAGTACCTTTCTTTTAAATGTTAAATGTTCCAAATATGTTGTAGTGTTAGCTGTATGAGAGTAGCATTATTGGAATTGGTTGTGTTTTCTTCCTGCATAAGCAGTTGAGAAATATTTTATTTTAATCTTTTATATTTACATGGGATAAATTTGAACATGTACCTTGTGAGAGTAAAAAACAATCCATTTTTCTCTCCAAAAACTTGACATTGATCCTCATCACATAGTTTTTAATGCACAGAAACTGCCATTGAAATCAGTTTGGACATGACAGTTTAAGGGAAATTTTAAGACAGTGAAAATTTTACTTGGAGGAGTACATATTGAAGTGTGAAACAGCTAATAGCCAAAATTAAATCAGAAGGTGTACTTGTAGCATTCACTGGTTTGAATGATAATTTTAAAGGTAGTTTTTCACTAAGAAAGGATTTCCTAGTGCTCTCTGTATTTATGAATATCTAAATTATTCTACCCTGCGACTTAAAAACTCAATAACCAGATACCGAATTTATGTATTTTTAAGGTGACTAAGAATAAGGATATGAAAAGCAGATTGGCTTCATGAAAGAAGCCAGCATTTAAATTGTATTTTAAAATACAAACTTCATTTCACTTTCTGACAGAAATCTTGTGGCCAGCTCATCAGTTTTCCAGATCAGTTTTAAAGCAGTATGTAAAAACTACCCTTTCCACATTAGAAGTTCATATTTAAGTTTCCTTAACTGCAAAATCGCTCTAAAACAGAGTGTTTTATGTTAAGAGCCATTTCATGTGTTGGTCCCATTGATTACATATGAATGTATAAAAATCTTGTTTAAAGACCAGTAAAAGTGAGGAAATTCCAAGTCAAGCTGGCTAATTCCATTCATAATTCATCCCGAGTGCCTGATTTAGGAAACTTGCAAACAGTTTATAGCTATTCATACAAAACAAGTTGACTTGCTCTGTGAGCAGGGCGGCGGAGTTAACTCTGACTTCCGTGGTCAGAGAGTCTTCACTTGATAAAACGATGGAATGTAGGTTACGTTTTTTGGCTCCCCAGGAATTTTCCAATCTCAACCCTTTTTGGATTTTTTCTTTTTCTTTTTGAAAATGTTAACACGGAAGGACTTTTGTGTTCTAAGATGGGGTTGACTTTTCCCACCCATTTCCTTCCCCTTACAGATTTGTTCAGCAGTTCTTTTGAGGGCTGAGGAGGACCTACAGTGAGAAAATGGCAGACACCGTATATCTGTCCCCTTCGGCCATGCCTGCCCCCAGCCCTCCTTTCATTCTGAGAGAGCTGGGCAAGAATTTAGTACTTACACTCCCGTGCTTCAAACTGCTGCAGCTACAGCCCAAGCACTTTTGAGGGCTGGCAAGAAATCTGTCTAGACTTTGCATTCTGAACTGGAAGAAGCAGTTGGGGAATTCTCTGCCTTTAAACTGGGAAGCTTCCAGGCTGTCTTTCAAACCTGAAGCAATCCATCAGCTCATGTTTCAAGGCTGCACTGTAGGTGGATGCCTTCCCTTAGTTTTGATGTTCAGGAGGACATTAAAATATTTCTATAGAGTTTTTTTATGCACCCTAATTGCAATTTTAAACCAGGCTAATTATAAGGGTGAAAACTGGCCCCAGAGAGAGGCTGTGCATAGTAACTTCAATCTGATGTGAACTCCAGTGACTTTTCAAAGTAAGATCTTGAAAATGTGGGTTTCTGGTGGAAAAGCCTGCCATCTACTTAGAGTAGGAATCTTTAGGACCAGTTAATATCCACAAAACACGCTTCATTAAACTGGAACAAACATGACGCTGAATTCCTGGCTCCCCGTTTTCCTGAATGTAGGTCATTTTGTGTCCATACAATTTAACGTCTGAAGGGATTTCCTGTCTTTGAAGTCCAGCAGTTTGTCACCTGTTTGGATAGCCTCCTTAAAAGTTGGGGCTCTGTTCCTACTTTGAAAGACTTAGTGACTCCATGTTTCCTGGCTCAAGTTTCCCAGCTCACTGAAGGCCAAGGTACCTGCAGCTGTGGGACTTGCCTTACAAGTCGGCGCCTGCAGATGCCATATCCCAAGCTCCGTTCCTCCAGGTCAGAGCCTCCAAGAAGAGCCTGGAGCCATACACTCACCCAGGTGAAGCCACAGAGAGGTAAGCTTTCGTGAGGAGGAGCCATGTATCAACATGCATAGCTTTTGAGAACCAGAGTAACTGGTGCATGCTCGTGCAAAACACAACCGCTGAGGCCAGACGTGCCCTGGTGGGCGAGACCCACGGCAGTGAGGAGCCACATTTCAATGTGCTTTTAAAACATGTTTCATTTTTATCTAAGAGGGCATCCTATTTCATCACTTTTTACGACATGGATCCTACAGTTAAATATTTCTAGTGAAAACTAGCCTATTTCTCGTGAAATGTCATTTGCAAATGAACAGTGTGTTAGGTCGCAACTGTGAATTATTTCTAGGAACTGTAGTGTGCTTATTTTTACCAAATAATGCCAAACCTCTTTGTCAACACTAACACATCCTACAAATTAAAGCTACTTGCATTTTAGCCTTTAGCCCATCCACCAACTAATCACTGCAAAGACGCTTCTCTTTCAAAAAGGTTTACTAATTGTTTGAAAGCCTCAGCACAAATTAGGCATCTTCACGGTACTCCTCGCTAAGACCATTTTTCATCTTAGTATTAAGTAAACATTTAGAAGTTTATGCGTTTGGGAGGGTCCTTTTCAGAGAACTAGACTCATGTGTTCATGAGATTAAAATATCCTGATACATGATGGGGAGGAAATGAAAATAGATTTCAACACAGGTTTGGTTTAAGGTCACGATCCAATAAGATTATGATCAAATGGAAAAGAAAGTAGACAGAAGTTGAGCATGCCAAAGGAAGGGGCATGGAGCTAAATTCTGCATGTGATTCTTTTATAATGAATTAGAATGCAATTTGGATGACTTGGCATTTTCTTTTTGTGGATATTAATCACTGTGATCCAATTTCTCTAGAAGAAATTGTAGCCACTGTGACTGAGTCTGCCCTCCTGGGTTGCTTTCTAACTAGTAGCATGGAAATCATCCAGGAAAAAAACATCACCTTCAAAGCTTCCACCTGAAGGGCACACCTCCTGTGTTGCTCACAAAGCAAGTGGCACTGTCCGGCCAAGGAGGGAGACCCAGATACATGCACGTATCTCAGGTGCTTGGTGGTCTTCCTGGTCCCTGCCCTTGGCGACTCTAAGCCAAGTGTGTGAAAGCATCAGAACAGATGCCGTAGTTACCAAATGAAAATTCTATCTCTGGTCACATACTCCTGCACCTTTCACACTGGGAAAATGTTCCAATATTTCCTTGATTACATCACAGATGACATGAGAACAGGACAGTTGGAAACAGCACCGAACAGCTGAGTATCTCCGCACACTCAGAGCACTTAAAAGTGCTTTGAAGTCACACAGCTGCTCTTTCTTTTTGAAATTGTCTTCAGTGAAACCCCCAAAACCCCATGTCTACCTTTAAAGCATCAGGAGTTATTTTAATTGGGTAATAACCATTCATATTTTCCTTCTGATAAAAGGAATTAAGAATGAAATTTTATGATGATTATAAACTATTACTGGCTCAAGAGACAAGAACAATTATGAAAAATATGTCCTACATATTTGGCATGAATATGAATTTAGAGTTCTAAACCATTCATCTTAAATATTCAAGCAACTTATTAAAGTTTATAAAATAACATTCACATAATGATAACAAGGCAACTTATAATAATGGGTTGATATATCATCGATATTGCAGCGGGCTCCATGCCAAACAGGGATGCTGACTTGGTCTTTGCCTGCTGGGTTTATGATAAAAATAGATCCACGATAAGAAAAGATGAAAAACGGTAACAGATTTTGGGTATCTGAGTGTCTTAGATCCCCTTCAGCCACTGATTGTTTTAAAAATGCTTTTAACGTGTATCACATCTCTCCTCTCCCTCCTTCTCCTGTTTCTTCCTCTTGTGTTTTTTTCCCCTTCCTCCTCCAATGAAAGTTATCAATCAGGAGAAAGAAAAGTTGTTTTGGAAAAATGTGAACACTGGACTTTGACTGCTAAATACTGGGAGTAGATCTGATGAGAATGAAACCGTAACAACTAGCAACTGTTTGAGGACACGTCGGGCTACGTGGATATCGCATGCTCGTCGGAGGTAATGCACCCCGCTTGGCCCGGCGTGGGCCAGGTCCAGCGTGCGGTCCTCTGAGAGCAAGAGCGTGTCTAGCTTTGAGTGGGTGCCTCCTGCTAGTCCCCATAACTGGTTAACTCTCACAGTAAACTTTTTGAACGAATTGAAGGCAACTAGGGAAATTGCCAAATTTCCACAATGTGGGCAAAAATGACTATACTAAATGGAGGGGCTGCTCGGATTTTTTTTCAACATAAGCCCAGACCTGTGGAGTCCTAGCAGTTACCACTCAAACACTTCCTGTGTGTTAGTGGAATCCAGCCCCTTCGAGTTTACCTAACTGGAAGTAGTTTGTTCCACTTAAGTACTGATACTTTTTAGCTTGACCCAACCTCTGTTATGATTGCATGGAAACCCCCAGATTTAACCTCTGTCCTGGGGCCTGGGTTTTTGTTCCCACTTCACTGTGTGACCTCTGGCAATCACTTCACTGGTCTGGGCTTTGGTTTCCTCACTTATAAAACGAAGGCAGTCACGCCTCTTCGTAGCCTTAGTGTGAATATTCATAAGGCATCTGGGGCACAGTTGGCCATCGGTAGAGACCTGTTACTGGAGTTGCACGGAAAAAACTAGACTGAACCTTTGATCTCACAATTGTTCAGTACCTGAAATTTTAAAGATCTTTTAAGAAGATAGAGAGAGCATCTAAATGCACAGTGTAAGTACTAGCATCTCATTTACACTAAAAAAAAAAGACAGTTCTGAACTCAAACTTGAGATTTCAATGTTCGCCAGCCTTCCCTCCTCCCACAGCGATCTGATGGAAAATATTTCTGTATAGCAAAAAAGGACTTAATTCTTTTCATTCCAGGTGATAACCTTTATGGGCAAGTCAGGTTAAAAAAAAAGACCCAAAAGCCTCAAAATACACATCTTTTTTTAGAGAAAGAAGAAAAGCATCTAAGAGGAAAGGATTTGCTAATTTATGTTTGGGGGGCCTATGAGTAAATAAGAATGGCAAAGCATATGGAACTTTTTAATCTGTATTTCTTAAAAAGTTTGTCTGGGAAGTAGCTTTTATATGCCAAGATTCATTCCATGATTAGTTTCTCAAACTCTCGAATATAAGGACCTGGAAGGGAAGTGCTGACATACCTATACCCAGAGCTGTGTGATTGGCATCCCCGTCACATTGTAACTGACAAACAAAATAATCTCGGGCTAATTGCCGCATGTCATAGGTGACAGACGGCCCGTGATAACTTTTATGTCTGAGCCTGTTGTAACAGCCTGACACACGGCTTGGTGGAGATCAGCAGTGGAAGCCCATTCGTTGCTGTTTTTCCCATAAGGCCTCAGTAAAACATCATCTTTCTTACTGCTCACTTCACAAAAGATAGTATACTGAAATGTACTGAGATTTTTGAACTGGAGTCAAGAGATATGACCCTATTTTATGTTGATCCATTCAGTGGTCCTTGAGAATTGATGCAAAAGCTCTGGAAAAATACATGAATGAAGTACTCATAAATGAAACTGTTCATATTGTTCTCCATAACAACCACAGAAAGAAATGCTACTGGCATCTTCCTCTAGAAATAGAGCCGTTTCTGCCTATCTGACTCCATCACCTTGGACGTCAGTACTGACCATGCTGAGGCTCGGAGTTGTTTATACAGTTGGCCAAACTTCACTGAGTTTTAGTTTTCAGGTTCTACTGGATGTTCTTGTGACAATTGCCTAATTTGGGGCTATGTTGGAAATTTGCCTTTAAATTTGGGGTGTTCTGTCTTTGTTCTTTATAAGTGCTCAGCCATTTTACAGGAATTTCCATTTTTTCTTTTCACTTTTTGCTTGAGTTTACTCAACTAAATTATAGCCAAGCAATAACTCTAAAGCTTAGTTTTTCCACCTGGCTTTCCCTGCTGACCTGCATCTGCCTAGATGTCCTCATGTGTAAAGTAAGACTCCTTAAAGAGTCCTCCCAAGATTGCAAAGTATCATTGTAGTATATTCAATAATCTGAACCTAAATCAGTTGGTCTATTTTGGAAGACCCTAATATATTCCAATCCCTTCTCTAGGTAGGTAGAGAGAGGGTAAGTGGGATGTGGGGTCCTGGTTTGCAAGGAGAGGACATTCTGCTTGGGGTAATAAGGTGTCAGTTTATTCAAGAAAGCAGACCATTAATTGTGTGCTGTGTACCTTAGTGCTTTAGGAGATCAAAGGAAGAGATCAGCGAGGACAGAAAGAACTACTAAGGAGGTTCTCCAGAAGAGGTGGGCCGCAACCGTGTTGAGGAAGGGTGGGCAGCTTTGGATGGGTGAAAAGAACATTCCAGTAAGGAGAACATCGTGGGTGAAAATGCTGAGGCAGGAATGAGCTCAGTGTGTTCCTAGTACTGGGCAGATCCCATAAAATAGTTTTGTTTGAACCCTCTGTGAAAACTTGTTTTTCGTTTGTTCAGAGTCAGCCAGTTCTCACAGGGACAGGTTTGATGCTCTGTGCAATTGAGGTCTCCCTCGCTTTAGCTTTTAACCTTGCTCCTCTCAAATCTGGTTAAAATGCTGTTGGAGGTCATGTCGTTTTCCCCTGCCAGGCCCTCCGTTGCTGAATCTCCTGTAGATCACATGCAAGGCCTTCAGGACACCCCCCACCACCACTGTCAGCCTCATGGCACCTCTGGACCCTTCTCACTTTTCACGACCCAGCTTCATCCACCTGGAACTCACCACGTTCCCTCTCGTCTGTGGCCCTTCACACGAGCTCAGGACTCAGCTGCAACATCACTTCCCCAGGGAGACCAGGTTAGATTCCTCTGCTGTTTGCCCTCACAGCTCTCTACAATAAGCATATTTTATTTTAATTACATACTTCATACCTGTCTTTCCCATGAGACTATAAACCTCTTGCCACGAGAAACCATTGGCTTGGTCATGATGGCTAGCACAAAGCCTGGCCCTATTCGTTCATTCATTCAAAAATTCCTATTAAACACCATGTGCCAGGCCCTATTGCAAGAGGAAGCAAAACAAGCAAAAACTCTCTGTCCTTAGATTCTGCTTGGAGAGGCAAGCACTAAAAGTAGCTGAAAATAAAATATATAGTGTGTGTATATTTATAGTCTAACAGTAAATGCTTAGGAGAAAAATAAAGCCTGAAAGGAAAACAGAAAGTGCTGGGTACAGGGTGAGGGGGTAGACTTTAGACAGGATGGCGAAGGAAGGCCTCACTAAGGGGAACCTTTGAACAAAAACCCAGAGGAAGTACCTAGAGGAGCTGCGCAGATCCCAGGGAAGAGCAGGTGGACTGAGGAAGCAGCAGGTGTGCAGGCCCAGACCCGTGTGTCCCCAGAGCACACACAGGTCAGTGGGCTGGAGCCAGAGCCCGAGGAGGGCAGTGAGGGAAGGACAGCAGTCACACACACACAAACAGGTGTAGGACTATTGTTTATTGTTATTTAATATGTGCGCTTTGGATTGGGAGACCTGAAGGAATTTGGCTGTGTCCTTTTCTGCTTTAAAAGTTATTTTAAATGACAATTTTAATGACTTAAAACAATGCTAGTAATTCAACATATGGAACAAAGCTCAGTATCATAAGCTTGTTAAATTAAAGGATACCAATGCAGTCAAACACCCCCAAGGGTCTTGTGCACAATGCAGAGTCACATGTGACGTGCTGAACATGTGACTCCAGTTCATGCCTTTGGCAGAGAATCATGGGTGGAGGTGAAATATATGAAAGTTGGCAACCTCAGTTACCAAAGAATTTTGCTTTCAATCCCCCCTTTGTAGGGAAAGGCAGGGCAGTGCATGATCATCTAACAATAACAGCAGAGAAAATAGTTGTGGTTTTGTTGTTGTTTTGATTCAGTTCTTCAGGGCCCTTATTCTTTGGCTGCTGTGGTATAATTAGCATTTCAAGTAACTATTTCACCAGGTAACACTCGGCGCTGTAATTAATGAAGTACACGGTTCCCCCATGCACAGGGAAAGAGTTTGAGACATACCAGGAAGAGAATGCAAACAGGAGGAATCCCTTCTTTGAAATGCCCCCCCACAGCTGCAGACCCACACAGGCCGCTCTGCACGGGACATCTGGCCCAGGCCCACGGTGCGGAATGTCACTCAGCACGACTGGCGGGCTCCCTTCACCCTGCGCTTCGTCAGCACGCAGCACACACCGGCTTTCCTTCTCTCAACACTTGGCTGCCAGCTGTCCGACTCCATGAACAGAGCCTCCTAAGAAAAAGGTACACAGGAAGTGAGGGCTGGATATATACCACGTCTTTTTTCAAAATTGGCAAACCCTGGTCATGAGAACAGCTTTGCAAGACTTGGGCTTAGTTTCGGCTCCACAGAACAAAGAAAAACTGTCTTCATAGTGTGTGTCCAGCGTGTAGGCCACACAACAGTTCTCTGACTGCCACAGCACATGATGCGCCATGGAGTGTAAGTTCACCAGGGAGACAGATATTCATGCACAAAGCTGTTGCTGCACAGGAACCTCACAGCACAAGGGGCAGGAGAAGACACAAAACATCTCTGAGGAAGATACTGATGCCTCTGCTCTGACCTGAGGCTCAAAGCACACTTTGTGAGGTGCTGAGTCCCTCTCGGCAGAGTGTGGCGTCCTCGGCATGTGATTGAGGTCTGGGGCCGGCCTTGCTTTCCCCTGATGTCCACCTTTGTCACTGTGAAGGTACTCGAGCCTCAGTTTAGTCTCAAATCCTGCGGCACTTAGAGCTACAAGATCAAAGTCCATCACAGGCCTTTGGGCTGGTGCCAGCAAAGTTCAGATGGTGCTTCACACGAGGTCTCAAGTGCCTCTCAGCCATGGGTAAGGGCTGGCCGGGTTTGATCTTGAACTACACCCATTTGGTGAGTCTGAGGTCTCTTGTTGATAAGCTCTGCTTGGCAGAGTTCTGCTTTCATTAACATGCCCCTTGGGTTGGTTCGTTTTCCCATGTCTCAGCACCTCTGGGTGTAACCTTATCTTCCCACTTCATACACATGATGGATCTGAAACAGCACAGGTGACGTTTGTCTTTGGCTTGACAGCTGGATTACTTCCAAAATTCACAACCAGTGAAGAAAAGTCCCAAATCCCAGCTCTTCTTATCATCTGACATTTATGGAACAGCCATAGTGGGTGAGATGCTAACAGTGTTAGACACGGTTTCAGTAAAATGAACTTACTGCTTGAAAGTTTATTCACCTACAAAGCATAAGTGTTACAAGCAATGGAAATAAATAAATGACAGATGGTACTTGGAGGTGACAGTGAGATGTCTCTCAGAAACTTGGAAAATGGGCAAGCGGTTGACCTCTAAGCAATGAGCTAGGTAAATAAATGCATATTTGAGAGAGACAACATGTTTCATTACCCTTTAGGAAGGAAAAGTGATTTCAGAGGACAGCGTCCTCAGGAAGACAAAGCCTACAAGGTGCTTCTCCAGTCGGTCTGGGGCTGTCTCTGATAGCCGCCGTGCCTGTTGCACATTTTCACTTTTGCATTTCTCTTAAACATTTTTTTTTAAATCCTCACCCAGGCTATGTTTATTATTTGGGGGTGAGAGGGAGAGAGAAATATCAATTCATTGCCTCCCGTACACACCCTGACTGGGAATCGAACCTGCAACCTAGTATGTGCCCTGGCCAGGGATCTAATCTGCAACCTTTTGGTGCACAGGATGATGCTCCAAACAACTGAGCCACTTGGCCAGGGCACACATTTTGTTTTTGAAACCAGGAAACTTCATCACCCACCCCAGTCATACTCATTAGCATCCTAAGGAACTAATTTGCAAAACATACCTGCTCTGGGAACACAGTGCGGCCCAAACTAAAGAAAGGATGTGCCCTCAGATGCAGTGTACCAGGATCAAAATAAGCAATCAGAGAGGCAGAATTTGGTGGTTTGTCTAGAACTGCCTGTGTAGAGAGGTGGTGATGGTGGAGGCAAGGAAGGGAATCACTCCAGTCATCAGATCTGTGTGTGTGTGTGAGAGAGAGTGTGACATGAAGTGTTTTCTGGCCTTACCATGGTCTGCATGGAACATTCTCAATACTCTTCACTCTCCATTCACAGATTTCTGAACAATGGCAGAGCTTTGCAGATGATGTGATAGCAAGAAAGTATTCTGCGCTCGGGAAAGGGACATCTCCACTGTGGATAGTCAACGTTCTCATTTATGCATCTGTTTCTTCTGAGTTAACTCGAGTCTGACCATCTCTGAATATCCTTGAAAGACTTCGGTCCAAATAATAGCTTTGCCACTCTTATTTCTTCGTTTGTGTAATTGAGCTTACTAAAACACCATGGGATTGCAGTGAGTATTAAATAAGATACCATATGCTCCATGCTTCTAAAATCATAAGCATTCCACAAGTATATTTAATATTAAATTTTGTTTCTATTATGATTCCTTATTTCAGAGATCAATAGACATCAACGCAATTTTACAATGTGCTAAAGCTCTTTGAACGTGTTCCTCAAAATGCCGTTGTGAACAAAATGCACATTGCTTTCTTCCACTTACTGCTGCACAGACACAGCCCAGCTTGGAGCAGTCCCCACAAGTGGTGTGCATCTTGCAAAACCCGGTCCCAGGGGGTGGAAATATAGTCCCTTCTTTGAGAATTTTACTCCACAGTTTGGGTCCATGATGTCCACATCGTTACCAGCCAGGGAAGGCCATGATGAATTTTATTTTTCTGAGAGGTGATTTTTACATTTTTGGAAGAAAAGAGAAAATCTGAAAACCATCAAAGAAGTCTCATATGGTAGGGGGAAATCGTGGAGCTGAAGTTGGTAGACTAAAGTCTAATTAAATATTCAGGGTTCTAGTTTCCTTCTATCTATCAGTGATACCACATATCTCAGCCATAGCTTCCTCTATTTTATGATATAGCTGACATATAACATTATATTCGTTTCAGATGTACATGTTTTGATACATGTATATATTTTGAAAGGATCACCAAAATAACTCCAGTTAACATTCATCACCACACAGTTATAATTTCTCTCTTGTGATGAGATCTACCCCCTTAGCAACTTTCAAATGTACACACCAGTGTTGCTAGCTGTGGTCAGCATGCCGTACATTACATCCTCATGGTCAATTCTCTATCTGGAAACTTGTACCTTTTGACCCCCTTCACCCATTTCACGCACTACCTACCCTCTATAGCATCCTTTTCTTGCAAGTGGGTTTACTTTCTCTGCCATATATGAGATTGTTAAGGTAGAATGAGAGATATACGAAAAAGCAAAAATAATGTCTATACACATGCAAAATTTCTGTCTTTCCCAGACTGTGCTCCTAAAAGACAAGACCTTGCCTCTCTGTACCCAGAGCGCCTGTCATACGGTGGGCAGGCTTATACTGGAAGAATGGATACGCCAGTTAACAACTAGTTAGCCCTGAGAAACAGTTGCCGTTGGAGATGCTTAGTAGACCCAGCGGAGAAACTGTGTCCTGAAAGGGAACACTGGTGTGGAGCACGCAGGTGAGAAGCGTTGAGCAGTAGCCTCAGAAGCTACTGCTGTCTGTGGCTATGGAAGAAAGGGAATTTAGACTGGGTGAGGGAATAGCCCAAAGCAGCAGTCCCCAACCTTTTTGGAGCCAGGGACCAGTTTCGTGGAAGGGGATTTTTCTATGGACAGCAGGGGATGGAATTAGGGGAAGAGATGGGTGCGGGGAAGGTGGTTTGGGGATGATTCAAGTGCATTACATTCAAGCTCAACTCTTGCTGGGTAACGCGGTCCTAACAGGCCTGGACTGGTGCTGGTCTGTGGGCAGGAAGTTGGGGACCCCTGGCTTAAAGGATTCCTGGCCAGGTCTTTATCCGGACAGAAACTGGTGGGAAAAGGTCCCAGCTCTGTCAGGCTGTGAATACCCATCTGAGTGAAGCGGGAAGTCAGGTGACATCAGTTAGAGTGTTCTGCCGAGTGTGGCTGAGTGTGATGGATGGCTCAGTGTGCTGTTTATTCTAGTGCAGGTTGGTATTTCACCTCTGTTTTCATTAGGCCGGGGCTAAGGTAATAAGTCTTTCCTCTGGCTGAAAAATCTGTCTTCAGCCATTTGTTGATCTTCTTGAACAGGTACTTCAGGAGCTCAGAAGTCACCCTAAAGGAGATTTTGAATGAAAACTTAAATAATGCCGGTCGGCATCCACCGAGCTCTCAGGCAGCACAGGCCACCACTGGACTTGCTGCGGTTATCAGGTGCACAGAGTCACATTTACCCAAGGAGACCTGGTCTCAGGAATGATGTGAGGTAGCCACACCTGCAGGAGGCCGAGCGCACATCACGCTTTGTTTCTTTGGAAAGATCCAAGGTTGTATGGAAGTCCAGTGAAGGCAGTGCAGTCTTCATGGGCTGTTTCCGTGAAGCAAGTGTTGCAGTGGAAGGTGGCCCAGACTGGGCCTCAGAAATCTGCTCCATGATTCTCCCTCCAGGCAGATCTCTAGATATCGCCAAGCCTCAGTTTCTTCATCTCGCAAGACGCAGATATTATTAGTGCATGCAGTGGTTTTAATTGAAAGCATTCATTTCAAGCACATATAATGTAGGTTTCAGTTTTTCTCCAGAGCTGGTAGGAACACGTTGAGAATGATGATGGGCCCATGGCGTTAACAAGCTGTGGCGCTGCAGCTCGTCCCTCTGCCCAGCCTCTGGCCAGCGGCACACAAGGAGCAGAGAGGAAGGTGTCAGTTCATTAAACGTCTGTCCAAGAGGCAATGCCCCCGCAGCTGACAACAGTCAGGAACTGGCAGGGCCAGTTTGTCTCTGGTTTTTGTTTGCTCATTTTTTAATGAGCCGATGAGCAGGTGATAGGGCTTCTAATCTCAGAGCCCATGTATTTGCTCCATCTGGAGGGGACCTGCTGAAAAGTTTTATCTATTCTAAAGGGTGTAGTTGGGCTGTTGGGAGAGAGAGTCAGAATGTTGGATTGCTGGTCTCACCTCTCAGGTGTTCCACTCAGCATGAGGGTCCCTTCCATCCCCTCAACCTGTGGGGTCATCCCACCTGTCCCGTTTGTACTGCAGGCCACTTGCTGTGAAAAAATGGTTCTTATTTAATATAAGTAGGGTTAACACACATCCTGATTTGTTCTTAACAGTCTGTTCTATGCTTTTTGAGCCAGAATAAATATTATAACACTCCCATTAACTCTCAAAGTGTTGAGCAATAAATTATGTGATGCCAAAATACAATAGGTTAGTTTTTCTGTGGGTACCTTCTCAACCCCAATGAATGCCTTATGTCGATTGGTAATATCCCCTCTGCCATCAGCTTAGTTGGGTTACGATACACAAAGACAAATAAGTGGTGACTGTATAATTTCCTCACAGCAATCCGTATTCAGGAACATCATTTCCGGGGCGCTCCTGACTGGAGTGGGGAGTCTCTGCGTTGAACTGCAGTAAACATAATGTGATGATTCTAATGAGGAAGGGTTTCCCCCACAGTCCTGTGAAGTAACCTAACTTTTGGGAGGCAATAATCAAATATAAGTCACTCTTTCTAATAATTCTGAAAGAACAATGTCAACCAATGAATTATTTTTATTCATCCATTTTTCAATAAATAGTTATTCAATAAATATTTGTGTTATGTTTCTGGACACTGAGCTAGGTACTAGAAATATAGAAATTAAGGACAATCTCTGACCTTAAGGACTTTATAGAAATGGGGTCAAGAGTCAAGCCAGTGGTGACAGTCTGGCTAATGGTGACACAGAACAGGAGCACCTAACTCATCTTTGGGCCGCTAGAGAGTACGGAGGGAGGGAGGCTTCCAAGAGGTGGTGATGTGAGTGAGTCTTGAAAGATAAGTAGGAGTTAGGCCAGGGCGGATTTCCTTTCAGATATGTTCTAATATTAGGAAATAAAAGAATGAAGACAAATTCAAAAGTCAGGAAACATTCTTTTGCTGGAACATCAATGTCCTGTTGATTCTAAAAGAAGTTGTTGCTAACAGTGGGAGCTTTTGGTGGTCTAGGGGGCTCAGGGGCTGAATCAGCTTTCATATTTAGGAGACTCTGAAAGAGCTAGGATTCTGTAAAAGCATTTTAACATGCAAATTTGTGATCCACATAGGGAATTTTAAATTTTCTAGTAACCACATTATAAAAGTAAATAGAGGCGAAATTAAATGTCAGTAATATGTTGTATTTAATCCAGTATACCCAGAATATTATCATTTCAACATGCAGTCAACATAAAAAAATGAGATATTTTGAAATCTTGTTTTCACATTAAGATTTCAAAATCCAGCACATGTTTTACACTTAGAACACATTTCAGTCCTTACCAGCCATGTATGGCCCATGGCTCTCATATGGAACAGTGCAGTTTTATAACATCAAATCTCACTGTGGTCATAAATGAAAATGAACTCAAAGTGCCCTGGCTGGGCTTATGCATGACTATTAATTCCATCACTTATATAAATAGCATACACTTCTTTAAGAAGGCAGAAACAAAAATTCTACTGAAGCCTATGTTATATCCTAAGTATTTCTCTTATACTGACAGCCAACAGTGTAGAATGATAGACCTGAACCTCACAACCCAACTATGCTAGAATCTTCGAAATACAACTGTTATAATTGTGAATGCAGCCAAAGCACTGGGAGCCCCATGGTTGCTTATAGATTTCACCACCACAAGGGCCAGTTTGTGATGACGAATCTGTGATACCATTCCGAACCAATTAGTCTATCACGGAACACGTGGTCAAGGCAAACCTTCACACATAACGTCACTTAGGATCATTTTTTTCTTATTGAAACTCTCGCAGTTTGTACGTGGCACACTGTCATTTTGTGAGCCGAGACAGGAGAATGATACCAGGACGCAAGTCCTGCCAAAGATTCCCCTCTGGGAAGGCAGCCGTCTCTAGGTCTCAATTTCTCTCTCTATGCAAGGGCAGTTAAGAACTTTGGCCCCGAGGGCCGAGTACCATGAAGATACAAACAAATCCTTCTCGTCTTTCTGATTCTCAGTTTAGCACAGTGCTGAGGATTGCAAAAGATTTCTTCAATCTCTAGAAGGTTACGCAGGGCCATCCAGTGAGGCACTTCTCTTCCCTTCTCTTGACTGGGTCACTCAGTTTGTGACAAGAACATTAGTAATTGTGTAGCCGGTGCCAGGGGCACCGTAGAGTCGTTGAGGAAGTCACATTAACTACAACCCGTATAAAAACTCATTATTACTTAGAGAGGCCGCACGCCATCCTGAGAATCCAGGGCTGGTGCCTCAAAGGTCCCCCCAGACGAGGTGCGCAGTCCAGGGCCACTGTCGTAACTGCAGCCCTCTCAGCTGTGAACAGGGAGAATGGCAGCCCTCGCTGCTTTTGCAGAGAGTTGTGTTTATCAATTAGCTTGTGTTTCAAAGTGCTTCACAACTGGAAAGTTTCACTACTGAATTAAGGAAAATTTCCTTTCATTTTCTCCCCCACTGCACCAGGACGACAAGAAACTGTGCTCACTGAGGCTGGGAGGAGAATGGAGGGGATTCGGGCACAAAAGCCACCAAACCTGACTCCCGAAGGCAGTGGCTCGTTTCCGGCTATAAGGCGGCGCCCATTACAGGGAGCGTTGTAAATTAGGTATCTCAAAGGGCAGCCAAACCTGCTCTCTGAAGAACTGCATTTGTTCTAGACTTAAATTTTATGATCCCTTCAAGAAACAAGGGTTGGGGGGAGAAAATGAGCCACATAACACTGCGGTGTGGGATTTGGGAATGAAACCTTCCCCTTCTTCCTGAGGGAGTGGCATAAAGGACACTGTGTCTTCCTGCCTGAGAAATAGGAGGTTAGCCTGTTTGTAACTCAGCCTTGAGACTCTCAAATCTTTCTGTCCTGTTTCTAGCTTATGCTAGAAAGTATGCTCGCCAGACTTTTCCTTAAATGATGTCTCATCATCTCAAGATGAATTTTTCAAAACAAAAAGAATTCATTCATATTCTCCTTGTGACTAACTGTCCACTAAACTTTTTGCTTCCCTCCATACTGTGGGAATGCAGCTATCCAACTGGGACAGTGCTTCCCAGTCTCTTGCATCCGGCTGTGGTCATGTGACAAGCTTTCAGCAGTGGAAATGAACAGGAGTGGGGCTTCTACGATGACGTGGGTGTAGCCTCTCCACTATCTCTGAGCACTGGAAATGATTCTGACGATCTAGATCAAGGCCAAGCCTCGAGGTAGAAATCTGAGTCCTTTATTCCACAGATAAGGAACATCTGCTTTGGATTGTTATCTGAGTGAGAAATACACTCTTATTGTGTTAAGCCATTTTTTTGAAGTTTATTGTTATAGCAGTTAATGTTACCCTAACACGCACACACACTGCCATTGCGGATACTCTTCCCCAAATTTCCCACTATAGTTGTCTTTTTGTTGCCAGACCATGAAACCTCTTGAGGACTTCCATGACACATAGCTTAGTGCAGAGTATATAAGGTATTTCATAAATGCCTGTGGGAGGGAGGGAGGGAGAAAGGAAGGAAAGAAGGAAGGAAAGAAAGAAGGAAGGAAGGCATCTGCATTTAAGGTGACTCACTTATTTCCTTGTAAGCTTTCAACTTCAACATGCCTACCTCCTGCTATTAAGTGGTAAAGAAAGGAAATATTTCTCCATTCTTTATGATCTTTGAAAGGGTGGACACAGAGCCATGGGAGAAATCACTGGCTGGAGGAAAGCAATCCCTTAAAGAAAGCAATTCAAATATCATCGCCCTAGAGAGCTGGGCCACCGCCAACATCTCCATCAGCAACTTGGAAGAGTTGTCTGTTGTCCCAGCACAATAAAACTGGAGACATGAGCATCCAGAGCTCCAGCCAGCACAATTACATGAAGCCAAAGCACATTATCACTTCTAGGTTGCAGGATTTATGACCAACTACGATGGAAAATAAAGACAGAGATACTTTACTTGTCTGAATTCATCACTCACAAAAGGCAGTATGTTTTAATCATAGAGAAGTTGTATGCATTGTGTTTTTTTCTAATGAAAACCTTAGCAAACAGAGCAAAAACAGATGCCAGCATCTCAGAGAAGAAAGGAAAAAATGAAAAAGGTTGCCAGTTTGCTTCTGTTCAGAAAATATGCTATTGATAACTTTTATTGTCAAAAACCTCCTTTCAAATGTTTTGAGGCAAGTGTTTCTATTTTGGTGGTTTCCTGGTGTTGGGAAACTGCTTCTAACTTGAGTGGAACAAAGGAGTAGGTTGTATTCTGTGTTGGTGTTTGCTGATCCAAGTATTAAGTGATGAAGCTAAAACCATTCAACTTCTAGGAAGTGATTTCCATTTGCCCTGAGGATGTTACTTCCTGTGGCAGTCCCCCTGCCCTGAACTTGCCTAGAGCCATGGTCTTGACCCAGCACAGCACGCTCAGGCTTTACTCCAGCTGCTTGTTAATTCTGTGCACTCTGGGGTGGACACCCTGTGAGCACAAGGCCCATGGTGTTCCTGGCTCAGTGCTGGCCATGCGGAATGCTCAGAAAATATTGAAGGTTGCCATTGTATGTAATTAAATTTCTTTTTCAAAAGATTTTATTTATTTTTATTTTTAGAGAGAAGGGAAGATAGGGAGAAAGAGAGGGAGAGAAACATCTGTGTGTAAGAGAAACATCAATTGGTTGCTTCTTGTATGTGCCCCAACTGGGAAGGAGGCCCAGGCATGTGCCCTGATGGGGAATTGAACCTGTGACCTTTGGCTTCGCAGGACGACTCCCTACCCACTGACCCACGCTGGCCAGGGCTAAAATTCTTTACAGACAATTTTTTTTTTACTATCAGTTCTCTCATAGTGAAAAGGGAAACCAGTGTGGGTTTTGTTTAATACTTTCAAATTTAAAATTATTTAAATACATGGTGAAACCAGTGTTTAACTTCTTATCAGAACCAACATTACAGCCTCAAAATTTCTGCAAGATAGAAAAGGTTGAGAAAGGGAGGAAGGTGCTACACAATCTTTCCAACGCGAGAATATCTCAGCTCGGGCCGGCTGGGAGCAGCTCCTCAGACCCTAAACGTGCATTTGTTTCCAGAACACCTGAAACAGACCACATTTTTATGGTATTTGCTTTTCACAGTCAAGCTTACATTAGGGAGCTATAGTTTCTCTGTATTTATTTTTAAATCATTTGGGTTCTCCAATAAAACAGCATTTTTATTTTCTTCCCTCTTCCCTGGTGAACAGGTTTATTGTAATCCATGAAGGGTCCTACAGGCGCTCTGCTTGGTGGGTGGGACCCTCTGGGGTGGTGCACTTGGAAAAGCCCGTGTTGTTTGCATTTTAGAAAACACTTAGTTGGCTGAACGTGCAGCCACTAAAATAACAGTTCATCGAAACACAGTTGTCCCAGGTAGTCTTTCTAAATTGGCAATCAGATTTCCTAAAAGTCCAAGAAAAGGATAGGGGTCCTGAGGAGGGGGAGGCCAAAGGAACAGACCGCATTTGAACGCAGGAAGTAGGGCAAGGAAGTGAGGACCTGAAATACAGGAAAAGAGAGGGGCAGGGAGAATACACGTGGATCTTCTTCCCTGCAGACGTCCAGTTTGAACCTGGTCCAGTAAGAGGAAGTGAGATCATCATCCGATGTTCTGTGGCCACCTTAAAAATTGTGTCTGTAGTTTCAGCT